GGAAGTTTAAGCTTCGCTATAAGCTGCCATACATCAGTGTTTCACAAAAACATCTTGTTTTTTATATTAAGTAGAGGTTACTTATAAACATATTATTTTCAATCTTTTTTACATAATTAGTTTTGATTTTAAGAGATTTTAAGCTTCAGAATCACGAAAAAAAAAGATCTGCAGTAAAGTTTCATAGTAAACAATCAAGTTCAAAGAATTGTGGTCCCCTGCTTCCGGTGTCTTAGTGGATGGGATGCCATTATTTATGGCATATTGTAACTGTCTTCATTGTGTGTCCTGTCTTGTCTGTGCATTATACAATAAAGATATGTTATTGAATTAATAACAGTTATGACAAGGATTATAGCTTCTCAAAACTACATCAAACTTCAAGATCAAGGTCATGAGGTCAAATATCTTAATAAAATCCGAAAGGTCTTGTCACAAGTAATGCACATGCGAAAAAAATATCAAAAGCCAGAGTATACAATCGGAAAGGTCTTGAAACTTGTAATGCACATGTCAATTGTAAATGCCATATCTTCTCCCAATCAAAAGTTATTAGCAATGTTAAAATATTTGAAAGTAGGTCATGGGATTATAAATGAAATTACATTTGGAAATGCTTGTCACAGGTAATGCACGTCTGAAATAGGATTGCCCTATCTTTCCACCTTCAAAAGTTAGCAACACTGATGAATTCTTTGAAAAATAGGTCAAACTTGAAGGTCAAGGTCACGGGGTCAGATATCAAGCATATTCGGAAACATTTTGACACAGGAAATGCACTTGTCAAATAAAAAATCCCTTTCATATGTCATTCAAAAGTAATCACCAGTTAAATTTTTTGCAAATTAGGTCAAACATGAAGGTCAAGGGGGTAAAAAATCATAGCATGCGGAGAAACACCTTCTCACTGGTAATGCACATGACAAATATGAAAGCCCTATCTATTCTCAATCAAAAGTTATTAGCAAAGATAAAAATTTTGAAAAGTAGGTCAACCTTCATGGTCAAGAGGTCAGAAATCGTAGTATATTTGGAAAGGTCTTGTAACAGGTAAAATACATATGTAATATGAAAGCCCTATCTTTTCTCATTCAAAATTTATGACCAATTTAAAATACTGTAAATTCCTAAATATACGCAAGGAATAAATTATCGCGTAATTACGCGAGAAGCACCACTCGCGAAATAGAATTACTCCCTTTTATTTTTATGGTGCTTTAATGTATGTAAAATCTCTAGATAAATCACCCATTCGCGAATTATTCTCGCGATATGACGCCCTTGGGTCATTTCGCGATATTTAGTACTCGCTTAAAATAAGGAATCTACAGTAATGTTAAGGGGGTCAAAAACCATAGTACGTTTAGAAAGGTCTTGTCATAGGTAATACACATGTCAAATATGAAAGCCATATCTCTTCTCAACCGAAGTTATAAGTACAGATAAAATTTTTGAAAACCAAGTCAAACTTCAAGGTCAAGAGGTCAGAAATCATAGAATATTTGGAAAGGTCTTGTCACAGATAAAATGCATATGTAATATTAAAGCCCTATCTTTCCTCATTCAAAATTTATGACCCCTAACAAAAAAATACTATAGTTTACTATAGTTAACTATAGTAAATCAAAGTTCCAAAGTTATCACTATAGTAAATCAAAGTTCCAAAGTTTTCACTAAAGTAAATCAAAGTTCCAAAGTTTTCACTATAGTAAATCAAAGTCCAAAGTTTTTACCATAGTAAATCAGAGTTCCAAAGTTTTCACTATAGTTAATCAAAGTTCCAAAGTTTTTGCTAGAGTAAATCAAAGTTCCAAAGTTTTTACTATACTTAATCAACGTTTTTAAGTTTTTTTTTCATTAGTTTAACAACTGATGTATTTTTATAAAAATTTTTTTTCATTATTATTTAGCCGTTTTAGGGGAGGGGTGGATATGGGGTTGGTTGGGGCTGGTTTTTGTTGTACATCTTTATTTAATATACAAAGTAGTTAATTCAAATGCAATATTTCCATTTATAAATTAAAAAAAAGAAATACATGTTGACTGAAGTTGATGAAGCAGATATTTTGATTCTAAATGACACATTATTTTTTATAATATATTATTTTTTCTCCATAAATAAGACTTACGTAACATCTGCATTACATTAAAGTTAATTAAATTGAAATAAATATTGCTTATTGATTGGCGCAAGCGACAACCTTTACATTAAAATTCATATCTTGTACATTATTCTTTTAGAGGAAGGGTCGGGTTTTAAAATGTTCTCTAAAGCTTTTATGAATCTTAAACTTGAAATATCATAAAATATAAAGAATGGGAATCCAAAACATAATTGCACAGGATATATTGTACTTAATCAAAGTTTTCACTATAGTAAATCAAAGTTCCAAAGTTTTCACTATAGTAAATCAAAGTTCCAAAGTTTTTACTATAGTAAATCAAAGTTCCAAAGTTTTTACTTTGGTACTATAGTTAACTATAGTAAACTATAGTTTACTATAGTATTTTTTTTTGTTAGGGCAATTTCAAGTAATGTTAATTTTTTTTTTTGAAAAGTAGGTCAAACTTCAAGATCAAGGTCAAGGGGTCTTAAATCATATTATATTTGGAAAGGTCTTGTCACAGGTAATGTACATATAAAATATGAAAGCCCTATCTCTTCTCATTCAAAAGTTATGACCAAGATTAAAGTTTTTGTGACAGACAGACTGACGAATGCGATTTAATGTCCTCTCGCTTTCGCGAAAGCAGGGGACAATAAAAGTATCAGAGTCTTTTCTTCAGTGTTAGTTAACAATGATTAACTATAAAAATTATCTCTTAGGATACGACCTTAAATAATAGACAAAAATCAATACAACAAAACAAAACGCTTTCATTTCCACGCGTAATTTTTTTCAAAAGCTTTTATTTTTTTATGGGAAATTCAGAAGTTTGAGGGGAAACATTTGACAGAATTATTATCCTTTTTATGTTAAAATTTTTAAAAAAGAATAAAAATCATTTATCACGGTAAGAGTTATTTCTCTTTTCAGAGGATCTACATGTATGAACTTAAAATTTCATTGAGTGTGAACTGATCTATCTTAGGAGGTGGGAGGAATGTAAATGATTGAAAGAAATATAAATGTCAACTAGAAGTCCTTAAAGACAAGGCAAGTTAATGTATAACTACAGTGTGATGGATTATTTTTTTCTTCAGTACTGTTTGAAGTGACATGTTTGTGTTCCAATCAACTGCCTCTTTTCGTTACAGATATACTATAGTAACGATGTTTGGGGGGTTAGAACACTGAATTATTTACATAACAAATTTACGAGAAAATAAATTAGACACAACCCTAAGCCGAAAACGTGTTTTTGAAACTAACTCTGTTACATGTACATTGAAATCAAATTACAAAACATCATACGCCTATTTGGTTCCATGGAAACAGTTGCAAGCTTTATTATCATACAGAGTTTGAAGTTGCGAAAGAGGTTACAGACAAGACAGGATTTTTATAATAGAAAAGACTAAAAAACGTAAACTGATCCCTACCTGTTTGAATCTAAGCACCAGTGTTGTTTTGTTTGCTGTAGCGTAAACGCAATCTTTTAAAAAGGTTGCCTCTTTTACTAAAGAAGTTATATCTGTTAAGATGAGCAAATTGTTTGACCTCGGTTAGTAGTTGTGTGAATGGTCGGAAAATGTAACTTCACAGTTCAATACATTTTTCGTAAATAAGTAATGTGAAAATACTTTTGTAACAGTAAATTTCAAGACTAAGGCTTTTATCTGAATTAAAATTTCCTTATTATAATGAAGTGAAAATAAAATTAAAAATAAATATTTATTTCTTCTGTGTGGGCGACAGGTAAATTTGTTTACAACGTTTTTTCTTTAATGAATATCGTCTACAAAATTTAGTTTGCTGACTTATTTTGTGATAAATAAATTAAAATGAATGTTCTGCTTTGTCTTTTATTTGTTATATCCCTCCAAAGGTTAAGTTAAAAGAGCTACTGGTATGATTGATTTTAAACATTGCATAAAAACCATCTTTATTTTGTCACAGAAACATATTATTAATGGCAAACACACTGATATTACAATTGACTCTTATATACTCCCCATTTTTGTATTAAAACCATCTTTAATTAAAAGTGGTCAAAAAATGTGTGCTTGCCTTCTTCTGACTGAGGATAAAAAAATTAAAGACAGGAAGGGTTTTTTTTGTACTTAACCCCCCTCCCCGCCCTCTGAATATGAAATTAAACAGTTTTATAGGGATGAGAAAACTTTTAAAGGAATAAAAAATTATCCTAAATGTAAAAAAAAAAAAAAAACGAGTCGGGCTGTTTTAAGTCTGTCGGTCTGAAGAGGGCAAACATTTTATTTTTAAGATGGCTTAATTTTGCGTCGTTTATTCATATATTGGGAACCTTTTTTAAATTTATACTTGAATGTATGTGTCCCTTATCAAACGCTTTGGATGACATATAATTACAGAATAAACTTTTTTTTAAAAGAAAGCTTAAAATTCTATTGACAGATAACGATGGATATGTGTTGTGAAAAATGGCTATATTGAAAAGTTGTAGATGTCGCAAAAACATACATTTTAATTGATATATGAACATCCACGGACATCTTCTCTTTTGTTTTTTAAGGAAACCATTGTCCTTTATCAATCAGTTTACACTGCTAAGCATATTACCTGTACAGATTTCATTAGCAGTGTGGCTCTTCCCTTAATAAAACGTACAATGACGTACATATCAAAATACAATATTTAATCCATTGCATCCTACTTTACATGTAGATGAGTTTTTATACAGATATAGGTGTAAACAATTAAATGTCTTTCTTTGTATGATAGTAGTATGAAAATTAATGTCGCAGTTAATGAGAAAAAATAACATCACTCGCGCAAAGAAAGCATTTTATTGTGTAAGTAATTTCTATTTACCATATAAAATCAAAGCTTTATAATTTGTAATAACCTGGTATATATTTGGTATTCACGCAGAATAAAGGATCATCGAAATAAACAGTAAAGGTAATTATTTGTTACTGGTCGTAAAGTGTATTCAATACGTAAAAAAATTGTAGATCAAAGGATGAATACAAACAAAGTCTGACTGGCAGAGATGAAACTTTTTTTAACCACGGCGTGGAGGACGAACTGAAAGAGAAAAAAGGTGTTTTTCATTTACTTTTTTGTAATTAATTAAGATGGCAAAACTCATGCCTTATCAGATTCATTAAGAAAATTTAATTACTTGGGTTTTGCTTTGGTAAATTTCATTACTAATGGTTCAATTCAGTGCGAAGATTTTTGATTGAAATGTTTCTTAATATTCATTAGGCGGTGTGCTTTTTCACATAGACCAATGAAAGCACTGAGGTAAAATGAAAAAGCTATGACGCGTAAATTTAATTTTAGCCTTTCATTGTATTCATTTAAGGACATACGCAACGTAGTTTGAACTATATTGTCTTTTTCCCTGGAGTTGAAGAGTTCCGATAATTAAAGGAACTGTGTGCTACATTTTAAAGTCTATATATGCTGTTGTACACTTCTTTTAAAATAAATTTGGATAAACAAAACATCTAGAATATATGTTTAGTAATTTTTGTATATTTTTCTTTGAATTATACAAGAATTTTCATCAATTGATATCTTTTCAAAACCCCTGGTAATGCATGCTGATTTTGTGTCTACGAACATCTGATGACACTATAATCCTAACTTAAGAATATCTTGAAAAATTATCAGTATAGGTAAGGTACGTTGCGTATGTCCTTAAATGGTAAATATTAGTTATTTATCTTGGGCTGACTTATCATTGAATTGTTGTAAGAGGTGTCCAAGACTTAAAAAGCAAGGGAAAAATAACTTACTTCTCTTTCTGCAGCTATTTAAACAGTCCTGCCTTGTTCTGAAATTATTTTTATTTCCGTGACATCCGCTATAGGTGAAACTTAAGCAGAAGTTAGTAGCTTCGTCGTACCACCATCGCGAAAAGCTTCCATTGCATCGACCAACCACTTTTGGCAAAGAGCAAATATCTATTGCTGGAGCTAATTTAAAGAAAATATGATCTTAGTTCAACTGCTCTTGAACACGTGATATCTGTAAATGATTATCTACCAGCAAGTTGACTTCCCCCCTTTTTTTATTCAGCTCTTTAAAAGTTCTTTTTTATCAATATTTCAGATTTACAACGTTTCGTCGGCCTGAGCATCGCTGAAGAGATATTTTGTCCAAATGCGCATCTGGTGCATCAAAATAGATTCCTTATATTATTTACATCCTCCAATTGATAATTATCCTCTTCAACCGACGTTGGAAGAGATATTTTAGCGCGATACCTTGTGTGTGCGAAAGAGAGGGATTGGAAAGGGGGGTTTGAATGAGTGCGTAAGAAAAGAATGATAACATCGATGTTAATGACATTTCGCAGCTAGGTTAAGGACGGCCAAGAAATATACGCCTTAAAATATAATAGAGAAAATGAATACAATCTTGCTATTTTTTAACACCATTAGTTTTGATAAATGTGAAATGTGGTGTTTGCACTTGTATATGTCGAGTCTCTGCCGAGTTCGGCCAAAGCGACATCACTTACATCAGCTGTTTGTCACGTGACAGGTTTAAAATTAGAACATATTTGTACTTCTACAAAGATCGTAAAAGTTCAACGATAGACGGGTATCTTTCCGCTATAAATTTATTCTGTTTTCTTTGAGACAAATTTCTCAATATACAAAGTGTTGGGAGCAACTTCCTCATGCTCGGGAATTGTGAAAAATTTAGCCGTTTTTCTTTGAACTCCAGACATAGAGGTAATACGCATTGGAATAGTCGCCCGCGTGGCGCAGTGGTTAGAGCGTCTGCTCTAGAGTCGCGGAGTAAGGAGTTGATCCTTACGTCGCGGGTTCGAATCCCACTGTGGGACGTGGAGACCGGTCCTTCGGATGAGATCGTATAAACCGAGGTCCCGTGTCGCAGTAGGTGCTGGCACGAAAAAGATCCCTCACTGCACAATGGCCGTAAGTGCCGAGTATAGGACAAAATTTGCAGCTCTCCACCGGCAAGTGGTGGTGTCTCCTTATGAGTGAAAAATTCTCGAGAGGGAGGTTAAACAACAAACAAACAAACAAACAAACGCATTGGAATAATGTTACATTCCACATATGGAGAAATGGTGTTTAATTTATTCATGAGATGGATTCCACGTGACATGTGTCATTAATATTCATAAGATCCTAGTTATCGCTCTTTATATCACGTGATTGAAAATATTATCTCCCCTACCGAGCCCTCTTTTTTTTCATGCCAGTGGTTACCAGAGGAAAAAAGATAAATTTAAAAAAAAAATGTAGAGAATTATGATTTAAATGAAGGGCACATTACATCTCGGCAATCAAGAACTCTACCGGGAACCTATGCCATAGAAAAAATAGTAACATTTCGGGGGAAAGGACACGTAAGTTGATCATCTACATGTACGCAGTTCACTGCTGACTCCATTATTATTGTAGCATACATGACCTTGTCCAATCATAATAATATCTACAAAACTGAAACATGGTTATAAGGTTAAAACTTTGCTACAGCCTTTACCAGAAATACTACATGTACGTACATGTAAATCTAACAATAGAAAAAAGTTTTATTTTCCGCTAATTTGCAAATTCGGTAGGGGTTGATGGGTGGGGGAAGTGATTATTGTGGCTTATTTCCGTCCCCATTGGTAATGAACAATAAATTTTTGTGATAGTTAACAAGCGATTATTTTAAGGAGGTTGGATCCTGCCATCAAAAGTAATGAGAATTTTTTATCAAGTATATTTTTAGAATTTACACACAGCTTAATTAAAAATCAAAACAAAAAATAGGAGTCAATGCGCTTCTTTTGGCGCTACAGAGCATTTAGTTTGACCTTTTAGCACTGTAAAAACGTCTTACACATAAATCAATTTTCAAAGTTTTTCCTCCAATATTTTATATTCAAATAAATTATGAGAACAAACACAGTCTTATTTCATCTTGAATAGACACATTAAAATTTGTGACAACGAAAAAATTTTCAAATTACTCCGCATGTTCAATTATTTGACCTTTTTGCACTCAAAAAATTCATTTTTCTGGCATCAACAATTTAACAAGCAAAAAAATCATTTGAAAGTAATGCCATTTTACTGAAATTAAGAAGAATGGTTAAAGGTATCTTATATATTCATAAAAGAAAATTAAAAGTGGGGGTCTGTGATGTTAATTTTTAGATAATATTAAAATAGTGCCAATTTTAAGCTTAAATTAGGGCTATTTTTTTCTTAATTTTCACAATATCTTTGCTTTATTTGTCAAATATGATGATAGAATTCATGACAGTGTATTAAATATATAATTTAAGACCAGTATAAAACAGTTCACTGCACAAAATAATTCTGTGTGCGGACTGCATGTAAAAATAGGAATCCAAACTTAACATACTTCAAATACTTATAAAGAGAAAAAATGATCATTTTCTTCTAAAAAACCTTCCGCCACAAAATATAGTTCCTCACTTAATGCTTTTGGTATGGAATCTAATCATGGAGTTTTAACTGAATATAGTTGAATTGGCATTGTAGAATCCAAATTTATTGTAAGAATTAAAACATTATGCAGAATTTTTTAAATATAGGTTAAGATAAAAATCTGCTCAAAAGCACAGGAGCGAACCTCGTTAATGAAACCATTTAAAAATTGATACCCTGCATGACATACACAGTGGTACTTTCATCTACAATACTGATAATAAATTAAAAAAATAAACAAACAAAGATACATGTCAATACCCCTAGCAATAAATTCAAAAAATGTCAGACATAGAAGTTAGTGAGAAAATAGTGAGTAAATATACATGCTTCAATGAACATACAACTGAGTTTGATCATGTAGCATGCCGACACGCTTTCAATAGCACATTGCCCCCCCCCCCCTTTCCCCGTTCAATTTTACTTGTTATTCTTCAAATACTTACACTTCTGTGTACTTATAATAGTATTGAAGCAAAATTGTAGTCACTGTTTAATAATAGTGAATGCATACATATGTCAAATCGATGGATAGCCAAAATGTTGATTTATTTTTTTTCACCCCCCCCCCCTTAAAAAAATTCCCGAGTACGCTTTATCATGACTGACTTCGACTTTTTATTTTTCAAGTGAAGAAATTTTAAAATAAACTGATATGCTGGGGCACAAAAATAAGCCACCAATGACTCTACACTGAAGTTTTTAAAATATTCAAAATTTAGTATACTTGGCATTTCATGTATGCTGCATGAGGGTCATTATTACGTTAAACACGAAACAATTGGACAACTTCTTTTTCTCGCTAAATGAATTTAATTATCCTGCATCAAAAATATATAAACTGAAAATATATACATGTAGTTAAATTGATACTTGCAGAATTTTCATGTACTTCTTTAAATTTTAAAGGTGTGTGTTGTTTTCCTAAATATTTGAATTTTTAAAAAAGAAAAAAATTATACATTTTAAATAAATTTCAATTAATAGGCTGCCGAATACCTCATAACATGGGCAGGATATTCATCCTATGAGAACACCTGGGAGCCAGAATCCCACATCCCTCCCCTTCTTCTTAGAAAATACAAGGACTCTGTGTTTACCCTATTATCTGAGGAGGTACAGGACATCAGCGACAGATTCCGTACAGCTATAGAACAGAGACTCACGACGAACGGGATCTCATTTCTACCTTGAGATCCCTGCATCAGTACACCGTAAACTATTCGGTGCATCTCGCAAAGATTACCTTTACAAGAAGGAAGATTTCTCCCTCTTCAAATTTGCTGACGACTGGGATCAACTGATCTATTCAAAACATGGAGAGGGTAGGCGGATCCGTTTCCCTATATACATTAATCCGATATTAAAATGGAGCAAGAAACATTTTATAAAAGTTAGTGGAAAAATGGTTTATGCTCCAAGAAGATCACTAGAGTTCTGGAAAGTTGAAATTTGCACAGAAAGATTTGCAAAAATTTTCGTTGATTTTTTTATTACTATTATTTTTTAGATTATACAAAACCAACCCTTAAAAGATTTTGAGAACAAAAGAGAAAATGGCAAATGGGTCATAGATGTAACAACAGAACATGGATGCTTCAGTGGACTAAATTCGAAATACAATTAAAGACAAAACAGGATATATATTGCTTTTAAAGCAAAATGCCGTATTGAAGGTTTCTGATATTTTTGAGAAAGAAAAAACAAGTTATGCAGAGATTATTAACGCAAACTTGAAATCAAGCATATGTCCAATAAAAAAGAATAGCATAAATTTTGAAAATAGGTTTCAGAACTTAGTCAGAAAAAAGAAAAACAAAGTTAAGTCAATGAGGTCGAAAGGGGGGAGGAATGAAGAAAATGAAGTGAGTAAGAACATGAGATTTCATGTTTATAGGGATGAAATAATGTCCCAAGAGGACATCAGAAATGTCGAAGTGAACTCTAATGAACTCTAGTGGCCGACCTTTACAGAGAGCTTCACTCGGTACAACAGGAGCTCAACAACAGCCTTCTAAAATGTGAACAACAAGAGGCTATTATTGATCAATTTGAAAGGGCGAACTCCGCCTTGAATCAGTATATTGAGAATCATATTAAAGATCCCTTTGAAAACAAGGGGAAACAAGTTGGTGAACATAAAAGTAGGAATGGTACTTATAATAAATTAAATATTTTCAAGCAAAGGGTACATAAAGCTCTGTGGTTTGCACAGTCTTTTGGTTTAGAGCTGAAAGAGATGAAAGTTGCTGATAAACATGACAAAACGTACGACCTTGTTGAAAACCTAAAACTTCGTGCAGTTCATATGAATCCCTCTCTGATACAGAGAAAGAAAAGGTCAAAAATCTCCTTTTTATCCTAGACTCCTTTGGAGTCTCAGACGAGGCTTGTCACGAGATTGCCGTGCAAAGTGATGGATTAATTAGGTCATATCTCGTAAAACAATGTCGTCAAAATACCAATGACATGTGTAAAATATCTAAAACACCCGA